TGCCACTTTCACATCGGTGGCCGCAGACTTGTTGAGGCTACTGATGCTGTTGACAGCCAGAAAACCCCAGGGTCGGGTTTTTTCAAAGCTGGATTAGGATAACCCAGGGTTGGTGTTAAATTAGATTATATTGATAATAATAACTTTATTTATATAGCGTCTATATCACTAATTGCTCTAGGCGCTTAACAATATCACAAAATGTATTAAAAAACATTAAAAAATCTAACAAATACATATATAAGCATGGAAATTAAATAGAACTATATTTACAAATCAAAAAAGGCTTGGCGAATTAAATATGTCTGTTTTTTGAAAGAATTCAAGGAATCGGCATTTCTTAAAGATGCGAGCATGCTGTTCAATAATTTAGGTCCTGCAATAGAAAATCTTCGATCACCATAAGACTTAAGCTTAGATCTTGGGACTTGAAGTAACTTATTCGAACAAGAACGCAAAGAGTAGGAGCTGGTACAAAAGCTGAGCAAATTGGATATATAACTTGGTGAAAGTCCATTGATAGATTCAGATCTGAAACCGTAGAGGAAAATTCGGCTAAATAATTTTTGTATACAATTTGATGATAAGATGCTCTAAAAAGAATAAGGAAAATTATCCTTAAAGGGCTTTTGAAAAGAGAAATAAAGAGACCTGGATTAACTTTGGACAACTGGGCTCAGAGAATCATTTTATTATGTACATATATAAGTAGAATTATGCTTTTAAAGGAACATGTAAAAAACAGGTTAACTAAGCTATCTTGAAAGGAGGCAAAACGATTGATAATAGTTGGTGTGTTGAATTAAGGTAGAACAAGGAAAGTGGGTGACAATAACTGTCCTGTGGACAGCAATGATGGCCAGCACCAACCACAAACTTCCTCGACAAGAACAGCTTCAGAAGTCTCTAAAGTCACTTCTCTCAGACGTAATCAAAGTAAGTTTTGTATATTAAAAGCTGAAGGGTTGTAACCCACATATACTCAACTAAATAAAATGCCCCCAAGGGAGCCAATATTATACCAACCACAACTTAGTGTTCACGGAACTAGTTCAGCCTTTGATGCCTGTTATAGCCATGAGAACAGGAACTTCATACAGTTACATGAGCAAAAGCATTGTATTAAGGCAGCTTGTGAAATGGTGGTTAAATAAACCTATTATAAATGAAAGAATTGATTATTGAATTCAAGGTAAAAACGAAAAGGTACGTGACCACACCAGTCTTGCGGAGAGCAATAATGGTAAACACCAACCAGAAACCTCCACGAAGACCAGTAAGTTGTGTTATGGTATTGAAATATCAAGTATTGTACATTACATAAACTTGACAACTGGACCAAGTACTTTAGGGGGTCAAGTTTGTGCCACTTTTCACATTGGTGGCCGCAGACTAGTTGCGGCTACTAATGCTGTTAACAGCCAAAAAACCCCGGGGTCGGGTTTTTCAAAGCTGAATTAGGATAATGCAGTGTTGGTGTGAAATCAGATTCAGATCTGAAACCTTAAAAGAAAATTCAGTTACATTTTTGTATACAATTTGATTAGAGGGTGCCCTAAAAAAAGAATAGGGAATATTATCCTTAAAGGGCTTTTGAAAAGAGAAATAAAGAGACCTGGATTAACTTTCGGACAACTTGGCCCAGAGGATCATTCTATTATGTACATATATGAGCAGAATTATAATGAGGATCGAAATGCACCAATAACAGCGTACCAACGTGCTACAAATAGCGACACGTAAACAATCGACCTCATCGCCTGATGATGACTGGCAGTTGTAGTCGAAATGTCGCGATCTACATCAAAAGTGACTCTATCGTGAGAAAAACGAACAAAGTTCATCTCCTATCTTACACCACGGGAAAATCATCCTTTAAAGGGCTTTTGAACAGAGAAATAAAGAGACCTAGATTAACCTTGAGCCCTGAGGATCATTTTATTATGCACATATATGAGCAGAATAATGCTTTTAAAGGAATGTGACCAACGCAACAGCAATAAATTTAAGAGGAGTTTAATTCTTGATGACACGATCGAACTCTTCTATTTATGCGCCATTGCCAGTAGTTTCTAAGTAAAGTATTACGAACGTAATACATCAAAAACGGAACGACTCAGTACAAGATTGGAAATAACAAGAAATACGTATAACACAGGCAATACTAATAACATAAGGAACACGGGACACTGGACGAAAGAACAATTTACTAGACGATTTTGAAATACGGCTGCATAAGAATGACCTTGCGATTACTACTCGAGCTATATTATTATATTATGATCCGCGCGAAATTCAAACTTATATGGATAGCTGCGCGAACTGGGGCTAGGAGGAGGATTTGTTTCTACAAGGAAGATGTAAAAAACAGGTAAACTAAGCTATCTTTAAAGGATGCAAAAAGATTGATAATAGTTGGTGTGTTGAATTCAAGGTAGAACGAGGAGAGTGGGTGACATTAACTGTCCTGTGGACAGCAATGATGGCCAGCACCAACCACAAGCTTCCTCGACAAGAGCAGCTTCAGAGGCCTCTAAAGTCACTTCTCCTAGACGTGGTCAAAGTAAGTTTTGTATATTAAAAAACTGAAGGGTTGTAACCCACATATACTCAACTAAATAAAATGCCCTCAAACGGGGCCAACATTATACCAACCACAACTTAGTGTTTATAGAACTAGTTCAGCCTTTGATGCCTGTCATAGCCACAAGACCAGGAACTTCATACAGTTACCTGCAGAAAAGCATCGTATTAAAGCAACTTGTGAAATGGTGGTTAAAAAAACCTATTATAAATGAAAGAAATGATGTGTTGAATTCAAGGCAGAAAAAGAAAAGTGCGTGACGACACCAGTCTTGCGGAGAGCAATGATGGTAAACACAAACCAGAAACCTCCACGAAGACCAGTAAGTTGTGTTATGGTATTACAATATCAAGTATTGTGCATTACATAAAGTTGACAAAGTCAAAGTAAGTTTTGTGTATTAAAAACTGAAGGGTTGTAACCCACATATACTCAACTGGATAAAATGCCCCCAAGGGAGCCGATATTATATCACCCACAACTTAGTGTTCACAGAACTAGTTCAGCCTTTGATGCCTGTTATAGCCACAAGACCAGGAAATTCATTTAGATACATAGGGAAAACCAGCTTGTGAAATGGCGATTAGATTAATCTATTATAAATTAAAGTACTGATGTGTTGAACTTAAGGTAGAAGAAAAGTGCGTGACGACACCAATCTTGCGGAGAGCAATGATGGTAAACACCAATCAGAAACCTCCACGAAAAAAACAGCTTCAAAAGCTTCAGGTGTAACTTCTCCTACACGTAGTAGAGGTCAGTTATTCCAATTGATTACAGTCTTAACAGTTTTTGTGCGTCATTGGAGACCATCAGCAAATCGCACCTTAACGCAAGTAAATTTCACAAACTTTAACTTGCCTTATCGAGATTGTTCATCGATATGTACGAGAACAAGCTGAGTTAAATTATAAAGCCATGAATCATATAACGTGGTTTTATAGAGTAACCAAACTTCCTGTTATGAAACTGACTTCACGTAAGAGGTTTAGTCTTAAAAACCGTTTCGAAAGGCCAGAGAACCCCGTGTTATAATTCAGCCTCGTTTTCATGTCGAACAGTGGTTTGTCTACCAAAACACCCACTCAACGCAAAACCTAGATACTACAATTTGAGTTTACAAACTACCTAGCGTTAATCGACAAGTTGTATTCTATCAAAATCTTCTCCCAAACCTTTTCTAACTTGTCGGTTGTTCAAAACCTAAATTTTCCAGTCCTGGCTTTAGGACTAGTAGAGTGGTTAGAAAAATATATCGAAATGTCTTGAATGCGGCGTGCAAATGATCTACAAAATGGGCGTGGCGTAGACCTTTGCGCGCCGCATTTGTGGAAATCAAATCAATTAGCGAATGACCTTAACCTCACGGCTCGTGTTTTACATCAGATAAAAAATCGAAATGATTTACAATAGTGCTTGGTTTCCATCAGAACTCTTAATTTTTTCTATTTTGGCCAACGATGCTTAAAATAAATACCGAAAAGAAATTTTAAGATAAAAGTTCGAATGGTAAAAGGAGAAGATTTATTGTAAGAACTTAAATAAATCATGTGGTGTTTCCGGTCGGAAAGCTCCGAAAGATTGCAAAAAAGTAAAAAAAGATGCCGTTACTCGATACTGCTTTACTCATTTTAGTGGCACACCCATCATGTGAGAGAAGGAAACCCAGTGTTTGCTTAGGGTTAGGATCAGTGAAGGCCACTGTGGCCTCTCATTTGTTTTTTCTCCGCCTTCTTTCGCAACTTTCACGTTGCAATACAGTTCATTAGCATTGTTGCGAAATACAGAAATTACTGCTGATTTCAAAGGAAAAAAAAATTTAACTAATTTTTGTTCTTAGAAAAAGCACACGATTTTTCTAGTCCGCTAAATTTTTTAAGTGTTTCAATAACGCTCAGATCCAACCGCTAGTGAGGACACAAGATAATTGAGTCAAATTAATCAATCAATTTCCTGGTACTCGATTTGCATTTTCTCCCAAAATGCGTTAAATATTGGAACCGACTCAAAATGAAGCGGATGCGTTTAAAATTGGAACGAAATCAAAAGTGAAACGTTTGATTTCTTTAAAAACTGAATGTGGCCAATTTTTGCTTTTTTTTGCTGTTGTGTTTAAGGGTTAATTCTTGAGTTTCCGATATTTTCTCTCGCAGATTTCGATCCAAAATTGACTTCGTGTTTTCCTGTTACAGATATTGTATTTGGCATTGACTCCTCGTCAGACGTAACCAGGGAGGAGTTTGAGATTCAGATTGAGTTTGTTCAGTCACTAGAAGAGCGTTTAAAAATAAATAGCAGCGCACTGATTGCATATGGAGACAGTGCAAAGACCTTAATTCAGCCCTCAGAATGTTTTTCTGACAAATGTGCAGAACTGCGAAGAACCAAGCCTTTTTCCTCCAGTAAAGGTAGAAGAATGGACGAAGCTCTTACTGAAACAAAAGAACATTTTTCGTCTCAAAATGGAGCCGGTTGTGTAAAACGTTTTGACGAAGACCGAGAGAAGGTGCTAGTCCTTTTGACATATGGCCAGCAAGCAGGAGAAAATGTCGAAATGGAGACGTCAGGTGTTCTTTCTTCTGCTGCTAAGTCGCTTCAAGAGGAAAACGTTAAAATAATCGTCATTGCCGTTGGGGATGGAGTCTGCTTTACAGAACTTGTGAACCTAATTGAACGTCCCCATCACTTGTTCTGGCTTTTATCTATCAGTGACCAGAAAAAAGTCGCAGAGACTATTGCAGAGGAAATAGAAAAGACCTCAGGTGAGGAAACTTTCCCTATCAATGAAATACAGTCAAACCTGTATAAAACGGCACCGTGTTAAGCGGGCACCCTGTATTCAGCGGTCGGTTGTCAAAGTCCCTAAATTACTGTCATTTTGATCTCTATTAAGTGTTTGCCTCAGCGGTCGTGATCTGTTTGTATTATCTTCCAACTGTATTGAAGGGTCACTTTAAGAGGAACCACTTAAATAGAATTAAAAATGGATCAATATCAGTAGCTGGGAACAGACCCTTATATAAAACTACCGTAAAATTTTAACAAAACACCCCCTTATATAACTCGCCATTGTTACATAGCGACTATTCAGAGGTACAATTAAAAATCCCTGGATGTAAGATACGAATCTAAGACCCCTGGAAGTAACGAAAGCATTTACGATCAATATCGACATCTGCGCGCAGACCCCTAGATGTAAGATTTTACGATCGATATAAACATCAGGACACGGGTTTGACATGGATGTGACATTGTAAGGTCAATATCAACATCTGAGCACACGATACACACTAGATGTAAAAGTTTACGATCAACACGGACCCCTGATCGTAAGATTTTATGATCAATATCAACATCTGGGCATAGACTCGTCATGTAATACATGTTCATTTGAACCCCTGATTGTAAGAACCCCTGATCGTAAGAACCCCTGATTGTAAGAACCCCACAGACCTGTCATGTAAGACACCTTCATTTGAACCCCTGAATATAAGGAACAACGATCAATATCAATAACTGGACACAGATGCGTCATGTAAGATACACTGATGTAAACCCCTGATTGTAAGAAGCCCTGATTGTAAGAAGCCCTGATTGTAATAACCCCTGATTGTAAGAACCCTTGATTGTAAGAACCCCAGATTGTAAGAACCACTGATTGTAAGACCCCCTGATTGTAAGACCCCTGATTGTAAGAACCCCTGATTGTAAGACCCCCCGATTGTAAGACCCATGATTGTAAGAACCCCTGAATATGAGACCCCTGAGTGTAAGGAAAATTCACGATCGATGTCAACATCTGCGCGTCGACACCTAGATGTAAAATTTAACGATCGCAATAAACATCTGGGCACGGGTTTAATACGAATATGATCTTGTAAGGTCAATTTTAACATCTGAGCAGAGGATACGCACTGGATGCGAGAATTCACGATCAACACAGACCCCAGCCCAGATCGTAAGATTTTACGACCAATATCAACATCTGGCCATAGACTCGTCATGTAAGACACGTTGATTCGAATCCCCGATTGTAAGAACCCCTGATCGTAAGAACCCCAGGTTGTAAGACCCCTGATCGTAAGAACCCCTGATTGTAAGAACCCCTGGTCGTAAGAACCCCTGATTGTAAGACCCCTGATCGTAAGAACCCCTGGTTGTCAGAACCCCTGTTTGCAAGACCCCTGATTGTAAGAACCAATGAATTGTAAGACCCCTGATTGTAAGAACCCCTGATTGTAAGAACCCCTGATTGTAAGAACCCCTGATTGTAAGAACCCCTGATTGTAAGAACCCCTGATTGTAAGAACCCCTGATTGTAAGAACCTCTGATTGTAAGAACCCCTGATTGTAAGAACCCCTGGTTGTAAGAACCCCTGATTGTAAGAACCCCTGATTGTAAGAACCCTTGATTTTAAGACCCCTGATTGTAAGAACCCCTGATTGTAAGACCCCTGATTGTAAGAACCCCTGACTGTAATTATAAGACCCCTGACTGTAATTATAAGACCCCTGACTGTAATTATAAGACCCCTGACTGTAATTATAAGACCCCTGACTGTAATTATAAGACCCCTGACTGTAATTATAAGACCCCTGACTATAATTATAAGACCCCTGACTGTAATTATAAGACCCCTGATATTAAGAACCCCTAAATGTAAGGCACAAATTTGGAACCTCTGATTTTAAAGTGTTGATTTAAGCATAGAACCCTTCAAGAAAAATATACATTTAGGACTGTCAGTTTCAACACAAATATTTGGAGTGGTTTCAAACTTTCCATGCTTTCAAATCCCGTACGGGCCTGAATTTCTTTTTCAGGTCCTATTTTTTCAGGTCCTATTTTCAACTACTCGTTTCAGTAGTGTTCTTAGCTGCAAGGATCTCTTAATTTCATCTATTTACCGCAGTGCAAATATATGAAATTCATAAATCTAAAATCTTCATTATTCCGACAATTCGAGAGTATGTCACACAAAACAAAAGGGTATTGAAAGTCACATCTAAAAATAGCCTTCGTTACACCGATTCTAGTTTTCGATTGGGTTAGCAGCATGAATCCTCTTCGTTTCCTGAGTGGCTTTCGGCCCTCCCCGCGATTGAGCAATAGGTGCCATCTCAGTCACAAACAAAACTTTCTCGTGTAATCAACAATGAAACAAATTGAAACTAGACGCATATTTGCGTTCACTCGGGCTTTCTGTTGGAAAAAAACTTGTTTTTTGTGCCTGCATTAGTTTGTGTCTACCGTAAATGCTAAGTGCATATTTTGTATGCGTTTTGTGCGTATTATACACGGTCTCTGTGCTGATTTTGCACCTAGATAACTTCTCTTCTTCCGCCATTACACGATACTTATCAGTCAAAACGTCGTGCATGCGTGTTAAAGACTTGACTGCGATTTGCAACTGAACGAAAAAAAAAACGAAGTGGGAATTTCAATTCGGGCGTTTCCTTTGGAAAGCCAGAGTAACAAATAATTTTTTAATACTTGTGGTTAACTTTGTGACCTGATTATCCCTAAAAATTCCGAAGATACGCTTGAATGGTCAACTCAAATTAAATCTTGACGAATTTATTTTGAAAATATCAGACTATTCCTTATGGTTTACTTGGTTCACTACGATGGCGTGTTTCATGTGTTTGTGTAAGCAACACCAAACATCTTTCCCTGATTTATCACGTCTCCCAGCTCATGACCTTAATACGTTGCTTAACTTACAGATATTTTCACCTACACAACGAGGAAGGCGATGTCATTTGTTGATTACGGACCCAAATGGGGCCTTGGAGAGAAAATCAGTGAGAGCCTAGATGTTTTGGAGGGCGCCTTGAATGTAGTGTGTCGAACGAAGAAACCGAAGCGAGAAGGTAATGAAAAGAACGTAATTATAGGTAACGCAAGAAGGAGAATCTATGAAGGTTTAAATGACTTTCACGAGTCAGCAATCTTACACAGTAATTTAACGGTTACTATTGCTGTTTTTGGTGTAGAAGGTGTAGGGAAAAGTGCTCTCTTTAACTTCCTTTTGACTCAAGGAGTCCCTCAGAGCGATCCAAATAACCTATTTAGCAGGCTCAGAGACGGACCTTTGCCCTCGGGTAAAGGTGTTAGACAGACACGTTTGCCCGTCTATGTTACAAAAGGAAAACAAATGCGAGTGGTCGTCCACAAAGAAGGAAAAGCTGAAGTATGGTACCCTGACAATGGACGGAGGAATACGCTTTCTATCGTTCAAAGCACTAAGCTGGTAAGGGAATACATCGAGCGCAATTTTGCAAAGTGGGAACAGGATGAAGCATCTTACATAGAGTTACAAGGCCCATTTACCATCTTGCAAGATTTGGGAGAAAGAAGAACAACGTCTACCGGCCACCTTGAATTGCTGGTTAATGTACAGCTTCTGGATCTACCAGGGCTCCGCGGCGACGAGAAAGGGGATAAACTCCTTACCTCTGAGCTAAACAAAGCCGATATAATCTTGTTTTTTACCAGTGGCCAACAAGGACGAGGCGTTAAATCGAATGACCTCGCAGATATTTTTCGACAGCATGGACAGTTCGACGCCTCATCTAGGCCAAGACTAGTTAATGTTGTAAAGGCTGAGGAATTTACAGATGTCGAGAGACTGCGCAACGAGAACGAAAAAGCTCTCCTGGAAGATGCTTGGCCGGTTTTCTTTGGCGATGATGAAAGCAATAAATGCTACAGGGAAGCCAGGGAGAAACTTCCCCAGCTCGGTGGAGAAGAGCTACTGATGAAGCTTAAAGATGAGAGTAAAGTTCTTGTGTTTCATCCCAAAGACGAAGGTTTTTTGAAGCGCTTAAGGGATGTAATCAGCAGCCACGTTGAAAACGTAATCATCAAGAAGTCTTTCCACCCATCTCTTAAGAAAGTCCATAAGCTTGCGAAGGAGCTCAATAAAGTAATTTCCCAAAGTAGAGCAAAGGCTAAGGAGCCAGAGCAGATAAAGATAGGCCATCGCCCTCCCCTAGAGGTATCATCTGACGACATAGGGGAAGAAAGCGTTATTGATTTGTTTCTCAGCTCTGAAGAGTTCACCCAGCGGGAAAACCTCGAAAGAGTCTTCAAAGGGTTTTTGTATAAATTTGAAACCATTGAATTTATCAAAAAGCGATTGGAGGTTTCCCTTAAAGATTTCAGTGAGTGCCTTATCACTTTATTTGAGAATAATTACAATTCTAAATCAATATCGATCGCAAGTGGCCTTAAAGAGGTTGTGGACGTGTTCTGCCAAAGCAAAATTGAACTTTTTAGCGCGTACAGATTCAAACCCCTCTACTCCTCGATTGTGAAAAAAAGGACGCCAACAAACGATCAAGAGAAGAAGTGGCGGAACTCAACCGAGGAGATGAGAGAAACCACGCTCAGAGACTATTTAAAAGATCTCATCCACGAAGTCCTTGGTAGATTGCTCAGAGAGCGAGGTAAAGAAGCGGATAGTTCACCTTCAAAGGTAAGTGACTCACTGATGGTTCGTGTGCAAGATCTACTTGCTATTACGTCCCTAGATAACTTAGCAAGCAAACCTGATATTTCAAAGGTTCCCTTGAAAAAAGTGATTGATTTTTCGAGGGAGGCCATTCGTAAGCATAATCCACATTTTGACTTGTCCACCCTTGACTCATATGATCATACCAAAGCTTTTCCTGAAGAAATGAAGATGCGTTCTCAAGACGTGTTGAAGATCGCAACGAAATCTTCTCCCGAACAGATTGTTAAAGACATGGAACACCAACTGTCGTCAGGAAGAGGTGACCTTATTAGGGAACTAGGAAAAAAATTAAAGCTCGAGAAACGTTCTCTAGACCCTCCCAGAACAAACCTAGAGGTGGATGAAGGAAAGTGGCTGTCAGCTCTACTCACTGTGCTTAGTGACCAAGATCATTTTGATGTTTCCCTTGACGATAAGTTTAAATTGGATGAGAAAAGCGAAGCGTCACTTTTGAATTCCGCTAGAAAGCGCCTTTTTGCCTTCCAGAAGTCACGTGTCAAGTGCGAAATAGAGGTAACGAACTCCATTCCTGAAAGAGAAATTCACGTAGAGAAGCATAAAGAATTTCAAAACGTCCTCGCAGCTTCAATGTCCACTTCAACAAGGAAACTGATAGACGATATCTGTACGAGCTTTACAAGTTGCCAGGTCCAACTGGCACCTATATTCATTCCCACCATCCGCCCCGGGCCAGAGCGTTCAAGGACAGGAAATTATTTTCTGGAAGAGAATCCTTGGGATGCGAGCGAGGATGAAACGCCCATAGAAGAAAACTTTGAAGGCAAGCTCAAATTTAACATTTTTCTAGTAGTAGAAAAGCAACATTTGAAAAAAATTAAGTCTACCATACATAAAAAGACTCTACCATCGGATAGGGAAATAAATTTAACGTACGTTGTGTTGCCTGGAAATGGACACGGAATTGGTGTCTCAAGGGCAGTAATCAAAAGTCTTGCTGAATGCTTCAAGTTTGATCTCTACTGGACAATCGATGATGACATAAAATTCATGTACCAGTTCAACGAGGATGACCGCAAATGGCATAAGTGTACGTTTGCCAGAGGACTACTGTTCGGTCAGCGAGTGTTCCACCACTGTCGGCAAACAACCTTTAAACAGCCTTCCCAAGATGCCATGGATAACCTCCGAGATCAAACTCAGGCGCTTTGGCCTGACCAGGCTAAAAGGTCACAAACGTTCAGAGAAGCCCGAAGATTACTTAGTGATGATGATATAAAGAAAGTAAGGGATAGCCCAGGTCTCTTACACTCTCCATTCACTACTGAGAACATATCGAAAGATTGTGAAGGAGGTAACATTGGCAGTGATGAACTCAGTAAAATTGAGAAAAAGTTTGTAGAGAGCTGCAGGAGCCTTTTATTTAGTGAAGAAGTCAACCGCATTGCTGGGGTTTCGATCGCCCACAAAGCTTCTCAGAGGTTTGATATCATGGGTGTGCACCCAAGTGCGCATTTCATGCCAAGCAAACAGCGTTACCAAGTCGTTCTTCATAACACATGTGCTTTGAAAGAAGTGAACTATGTCACCGACGACATGATTTTCCATGAAGGTGAAAATCAAGTCAAAGACCCAAACTGCCGCAACACTCCTTACTGGGGAATTAGGCATAGTGACAAGTCATTCTGTCGTGCCCTTGAAGTCAAGGGTGTCACAGGATTTCAGGTTATCTGCGTCAACCACGAACACGAAAAAGATTTAGTCAACGTTTTCCAAAGGTTTGGTCATTCGTATGAAGACTCGAACTCACCCTATGGAAGTGACAATCAAAATTATGCTTGAAGTACTGACTTATCATTACATGACTACGGACGTCTGAGAAACAATAACTAACTCAACTAAGTAGTTTAATATTATCTCCTTGCGGGACATTGTTCCGAATTATCTAAGGTTATTGGCCGAAGAAATTTTGCCATCCTAAACTGAGATAGCGGAGCTCTTCGAAGATCTTTTTTCTGCGTTTCGTTTTGACGCTCCATTCCCCAAATTCAACTTTTTGGCTATGCTTTGTAAAAGGCCAACTGGTTAACCTTCTGCCAAATTTGGATGATTTTTGGCCCTCTGTGTGGTATATAGTCCCTGAAAAGCTCCTGTACACTATTCTTATCCTCGAATGAAGTAAAACAGTAGAAGCTAGCTTGATTCGCGTTCGTTGAAAGGATGGTAACGTCGAACTTTATGACTATTGTCGCTCATAGTGTTATAATTGCATGCATCCCTACCAGATTCAAACACAGATTGCATAAACAATTGTAAAATAATTTCGGGGTCGATCTCGCAAAGGGCTTGACTAATGCTCGATAAATACTGAATGCTTCAAAAACATTCTTAATACTGGCACTTTCATGCGAGGGCCTGTCTCTGAGCCACATATGAAAGGATATTCTAGCCGTGGGATACCTTGAGGGGCACCAGATTTTACAGAGCAAATGATACTCACTGGTTGAAAGGAAGTTGAGCGGAGTTTGGTCACCTTGAAATAGAGAGGTCGTCAACAATGTTAATTGTTGAAAAAAAATTCTCGAAAAAGATTACGAAAACAACAGCAGTAACCTCATGTGTAATAAAGTAAAATAGACTTAAGAAGTTAATTTTGCTATATGGTAAGAACGCTGAACGTAATTTTATTTTCAGTATTTTATTTAAATCAAGAGAATATAATCTCTTTTCTAATTAAATATATTTAAGTCGATTAGCTGTCTAACTTTCAAGTTTTAATTTGAACGCAAGAAAAGAACCCCTGGGTCGGTTGTCTGTCCATGAATGTTAGTTCTCAGTTGAAAAGGTCACGTGTCGTCTTATTCTTAGCAGAGAGATTCCTACTTAAGTTAGTCTCAGTTCGATTAATAATTTTAGTTTTCATTGGGTTAGAAATTCATTCCTATACTGAGATATTCTCTCACGTTTAGTGTGGGTGTGTTGTAATGTACATGTAAAGCATTTTACAACTTTGGTAATTTTCTTATATCTACTTAGTGTTAAGGTTTACACGTAGAGTATCGTTCTGGAAGGTTATGAAAGTTTATAACAAAAAAAAAAGACCAAAAAACGATTAACAATGGTAATAAGACTGAATGGAGTCCAATTTGGTCTGTAATCGTAGGAGTGATTAGCAAAATCGGACGACTGCGAAGTGGGAGTCTGATTTGATAATCACGAGTATGATTACAAACAGAATTGGACGACTTTAGGTCCTGTTACCAATTAATCATAACCATTACAATTTCGGGAAAAAAAATACATCAAGAACAAGTGTCTTGGCTGGCGACAATGTATAAAGTTGAAAATTCCTCCACTTTGGAAATTCCCAAGTTTTTCTAAGGATAAGTGGTCGTTACTATGGTGCTTGGGATCAATTCTGTGATTGGTGGATTTAGCTGAGTGTAATTAGTATGATTGGCTTCTTCAACCGTTCGATTACAACTGTACAAAATAATTTAGTACAAAATAAAGCAGTTTGTGCACCAATCACATTTGAGGAAATTGTAATGGTAACGATTATTAGGATGATGCTAATAATAGTTCGACTTATATTTTCTGAGCATGATGAAATCGCCCATATCTGAGACATATATTGCTTAACGCGTCTCGTTGCAAACTTGCCACAAATTTACCATGGTTTCCCATCAGAATCCACGTGTATGTTTTTCAGTTATTCTGCATAGAACGAGTTTTAATTGAAAAAAAAAAGAAACAAAAAACAACAGAAAAAAAAAAACATATGCCAGTCCATGCACAAAAGCCAATATCGTTTGCCTTCGAAAAATTTTCTCAAAAAATCGCTAGTGTAGACCACTACCTATCGTCAAACCTAACAGGTTGGTGCTTTTCTGTTCATTTTCATATTACCAAAGGGAGCCTAAGTAGTACTATACGAAAGTCGAAGGTATTTTGATTCTAATTTCTGTCCTGATCAGTGAGACGTATATCTTATTTTTTTACTTTTCCTGTTTAACTTAATTATCTTGCTCTTTCAAATGACATCGAAAGCATATGTTAAATGATTGATGAATTTTTGCTTACTTCTGATAACTGAGACCTTAAAAGTATTAATTTTTATTGTAGTTTTAACATTTAGGATTGAATAAGTGATTTTCGTATACACAACTTTGATGTTTTGCTAACAGTTTAATGAAATTTCTATACGTAGACAATACCTCTTTGATTTTGTTCTAACGTCGGTTGTAAAACGTTTCGTTTACGGAAATAAAAATTAGTTCCAGATTTACTCCATCTACTTGTTATTTTTCGGTGGAACTGAATGTTAATTAACAATTGGCTCAAACGTCAGCGTGCGTTCATCGAGATATGAAGCACTTGGGAAGTTTAGAGAGCACGAAAGATGCGTAAGAGTTGCTCGAGGTGTGCTCTCCAAACTTCCCAAGTGCTTCATATCTCGATGAACGCACAGCTGACGTATGAACCAATTGTTTTATAAAATTTTCAACCCGATGGAAAATTTTTTTTCCTCGAGGGATTTGTTTGTTGACGTCATGAGCGTGCATAATAGGAATATGAAGCAAGCTCACGCAATTGAATTTGATTAGACAAATTTACTAGCTATGTTATAAAGTAACTTAACGGGTGGGAAACAAAACTATGGCTGTGGCTCGAAACTTTGTCATATGATGAAGTGCAAGCATCGACCTTAAAGAAACTTACCTGACTGAACTGAGATAATTGCTCGTCTAAATTTAATGCTCTTTTCGACTGAGTGCAATGAGACCAAAACTAACCTATAGTCCTAGTGGCTAAGTACGACAAAAGAAAACGTCACTTTGCGTCTGATTGGTTGAGAGAATAGCAAGATATTACAGCACCATTTATCATTTGATAAAGCGAAACCCTGGAAATTTAGAATTACTTTCCTTCCTTACTATCAATTTGCTCCAAAGCGGGAGCACGGTCACCAAGATAACTGGAAGCAGAATGAATTCCAACTTAACCGACACCTTGTAACAGAATGAGAATTCCAAGTGAGTAATGATGTCTATCGTTCTTTAAGTATACGGTATGCAACATCGTCTCTATGATCAATTCTTCGGAGGTCGATCTAAATTCAAAGTGATCGGCACTGAGTCTGCTAAAACGAGATTTCTTCTCATAAGGTTGTACAAATTACCATCTTAACCCTTTCACTCCCAAGATATCACTAGTATTTCTCCTTACTGTCTTCCATACAATTCTTTAGATGGTATTTTGGTATAAGATCAACTAACATCCCCCTAATTAAAACTTTTCTTTATTCTCATCACTTGTCTGCTTGATATTGTAAGGAGAAATTCTCTCTTGGTCACTCATGGAAATTAAAAAGTTAAATACGGTCACATTAGTGTGTTTTGTCTTTCTTGCGACGAAGCAGCAAGCTGTGATTGACCCACCGTAACAGGCCAAGCAGTGTAAGGACATTTAGGGCTTTCTGACTTAAAATATTTCTCCCACAGTTGATTGACAAATTGATTTTCCATATAACATTCGATTAATCGTCCCTGACTGGGGGTTAAACTATTATATACCGAGTGTGTTACGGGTTTGTTACATAGGCAATATATTTTATCAATCAGAGGTTGCAACTTTGTCATTTCCTGCCCGTGATTTAGCTCTTTAAGACGGAATAAGAGCGGTTTAATGTTTGAGGCTGTAAGGAAGCCAGGCACAAATTGATTCATTTGCATGTTTGAAAATGGTAACAACTGTTAACTTTTGCTGGCTGTATCTGGTTGTGGCATTGATGCATCCTTGATTTACGTTTGAAAGTTTTGAGACACCGGGCAATCATATTGAAACTGCGTGTCCGGCCGATTGTGATTCCTTTTGTGTGTGATTTTCTGATGCGTTTGTGATCTTATTATTCAATAAATAACAGGAAAAAGATAAATGAGAGTGAACAGAGTTTGTAATAACCCTGTTTTGTTAGTGTTATCCCCCTTTCCACTAAAATTCCAAAATAATTTGTTACAGGGTGTTAAAGGCAAGAGGAGAGGAGAGAGTTTAAAAAGTGCACGTTTGAAAGTTTTGAGACACCGGGCAATCATATTGAAACTGCGTGTCCGGCCGATTGTGATTCCTTTTGTGTGTGATTTTCTAATGCGTTTGTGATCTTATTATTCAATAAATAACAGGAAAAAGATAAATGAGAGTGAACAGAGTTTGTAATAACCCTGTTTTGTTAGTGTTATCCCCCTTTCCACTAAAATTCCAAAATAATTTGTTACAGGGTGTTAAAGGCAAGAGGAGAGGAGAGAGTTTAAAAAGTGCACGCCAAAAAGAATCTTTTTCTGGCCTGAAATATACTTCAGCGATAAATTATAATTGTCTTATGCTTTAAGATAAATGCTGCACGTTTTCGTGAAGGAAAAACGAAAAGCCCTGTCAATTATTGATGATATACTGGGACTCCAGACCTGTATTCATACATCTTTTGGTTTTAAGTCTCTGTTGAAAACAGTAATTACATCCTGAATCTATGAAAAAATAGCAGATGACACGTCGTGCAAACAGTTGGGAATAAGCCAGTGTCGCGATAAACAAAAAGCAAATCCGAAAGATGTGTAATTTCTCACGTAATATTTCGGATTTTACTACACTACTGACAAAACTGCTTTTTGTTCAGTTGTCAATTTTTTTTCCATAAATGCTAATCATTTAAAAGACGTTTGGTCATCGTACTTTGGGATCATTCTTTTAAATGCAAATATTTTTCAATCGTCGCATTTGGTTTAGTGGTTTGACATTGACAAATGACTTGAGATTGTAGGTGGTATATATTGACCGTAAACACC